AATCAATTTAGAAGATAATAAAGGGAATAAACCATTGCATATTGCTACAAGGAAGGGCAATCCAAAGGCAAGTTACTATATCTTAAAATTTAATTTGGTATTAGCTGTTTGCAAGCCCTACAGGTTGCATGTTTGTTTTTCTGTGTTTTTGTCTTCTGCCATCTATGGCATACCCTTCTGTTCCGTCAACTTTTAAGATTGAAGTGCTAGATCTCATTGTTTGCAGATGTGAGTTTGTTTGGTCTAAGGTAGCTACGCATGCCTGATTTGTTTTAATTATCCTTTTGCTTGCTTGATCACCGATGACTCTTATGTTATCCCTTAAGTGACCTTTCTAACAAGAAATTACTGTGACAATCTATTTGTCCCAAATTGGAATTAGGAGGATTTTGACGATATATAAAACTAGATGTGTTCAGTATTAACAATGCAGGCTTAAGCATTTCGGGTCATCTGGTTATAGGCTCAGTCTATTGAGTCACTATGCCAGGGGACTAATCAGGTGGGGTCATGATATCTGGTTGTTTATTGAAAGTTATTTGTGAACTACTGTTTGGCACCACCTGTCTGTAATATGTTGCTAGTAAATTTACCTTAGCGGTCATACTGAAAAGCTAAGAGAGATGTTTATATAGGCAGTACTTATATTATTATTTATTCTTTAGCACACATGGAATACTTGCTGTCTGCAAGAGAGATCAATTGCCTGAAGCGCAACATGCTTTGGTATAATCTTCTTGACTGTTGACCTTTAATATTTATCTTGAAACCATTGTATATTTCATTCTAGAATCTGCAGTGTTAGAACACTCATGTGCTGGACTGCCTTATCATCTATGTAATTCATGTCAATTTGCTAGCAACGAGTAAAAAATCTGCTTTATGGTACTGCAGATTGTACAGGCTTTGATATCAGTTGAAGGAATCGACATCAATGCAGTGAATAGAGCAGGTGAAACAGCCCTCAGCATTGCGGAGAAATGTGAAAATGAAGAGATTGCTGCCATTCTAAGAGAATTTGGTGCAGTTGTTGCAAAAGAACCTGCAAATACAATGACTGCTGCTAAGCAACTGAAGCAAACTGTCAGTGACATAAAACATGATGTTCAGTCCCAGCTCAGACAAACGCATCAAACCGAAATGAAGGTCCAGAAGATCAAGAAGAGGCTCCAAAAGCTCCACCTGGGAGGTCTCAATAACGCCATCAATTCCAACACTGTGGTTGCGGTTCTCATCGCCACGGTGGCCTTTGCGGCCATATTCCAATTGCCCGGCCAGTTTGTTCCGGACGCTGAAGATGGATTTACTCTTGGACAAGCCTATATCGCGAAAAATGCAGCATTCATCATCTTTTTGGTTTTCGATTCTTTGGCTCTATTCATCTCATTAGCAGTGGTGGTCGTCCAAACTTCCTTGATAGTCGTCGAGCAGAAGGCCAAGAGGAGGATGGTCTTTGTGATGAACAAGTTGATGTGGCTGGCTTGCCTCTTCATATCAGTGGCCTTCATTTCCCTGACATACATTGTGGTAGGCCACCATGACTTGTGGCTGGCTTGGTCAACCATGGCTATAGGTGCCACAATCATGCTGACCACCTTAGGATCAATGTGCTACTGCATAATTGTTCACCGAATAGAAGAAAAGAATATGAGGAACATAAGAAGGAACTCAGGGAGCAGGTCCCGCTCGTGGTCTATTTCAGTCGGTTCCGACTCAGAGATACTAAATAGTGAATACAAGAAGATGTATGCCCTTTAGGATGGATATGCTTTACACTTCAGTTTCTGCACTAAAAGAGCTATTCATAATCCTCGGTTACAGTTCGTATATATATATAGATATATGACACGGCTTGTATTGGCCACATTCCACCAGATGAAATGATTGAGGAGCAATCTCGAAGGGCACTGCAACTTGTAGGACATGAATGATATACTGAAGTTGCCTTGAGCTCAAGATGTCAATCCTAGTGGGTAAAAGGTATCCTCCATAGAATGTGATGGGTGTTCATCTTCTATGTTTAAAGATGGAATCACACTCCTATATAATATTTTTAGAGGAATTTGCATGGAAATATGTCTCATCCATGTACATTTATATCTCATTAGAAAAGGTCACCAGTATATCTTTGGAATCAGCATCGATGAGATTTAACATGTGACTTCAAATTGTTACTGCCAACTGTGGAAGAAAGAAGCTGAAGCACAGAACAGGCTGAAAACTTCTTCTATAGCAACGAGGAAGAAGATGCTCAAGCAATAACAAGCATTGAGGTACACTGAGATGGTGAAATGGCTAATTAATTACGTTTCACTGAGACATTAAATTTGTATGGTGTTGTACTACTACACATGGTTTTTGGAGTAAAGGTATGGAAATAATTGAGTCAAAAAGGAGCAGGAAAAGGAGGATGCAACAGCCACAGCCAGCCATGGAGATGCTATGTGGGACTGGGTTCGTCAGTTTCCCAGGACATGCCACATGCTGCTACTAAACTCTTTTGTCTTCCTATCTCAATCCTCAGCCAAAAAAAAAAAAGAGAGGCTATTATATTAGCTTATAATTAGCAAAAAATCATGCTTTTTTAGGTTGATCTGTCTATTGTAAGCCTCTCAGAGATCACATCACTTGAAAAAAGAAAAATTAATTAGGAGTAATTATGTGGGCATCGGTGAAAAAAAGTTAATATGAGCTCATACATGGTATGAAACCTAAAACAAAGGAATGGGACCAACTTCTTCTTATCAGCAACTTGGGGAAGGGAGTTCCTCCTTCTAGGGTTTCTAACTTGATTATGATATGAGCATGATGTGCAGCACTTCTGAAGTTAAACCTTTTCAAGAAGTGGCCTATGCCTTCAAAAAGTTCTATTGAGGACACACATATAGTTGGCAATAGGATAAACACATAAAAAAGTAGCAAAAAGAATCATTTTTTTTTATTTTAACAAAATAATTCAACTAGGGTCCTTTTTTTTTTTTTTTACAAGGAGTTCAACAACAAGAAAAGATCTAAAAATATAAATTTTATATTGAATATTTTTATTATGATAATTACAAAGGATTTAAGATCTAAAAATAATATTAGCAGTTTTACATATATTTGATATATCTTTTATCAATTTTTTTATATTTTATAATTCGATTATATTGGTCGGGTCGAAAATTGATTTACCGATCGGTCTGATTTTAAAAATATTATCTTGACCCATCTCACAAATTATATGTTTTGTGTTATTGGTCCTACTTTTGTTCCAATCTAATAAATACCAAAACCTAATATTCCAGATGGCATTTTACCAAAGTGATATAGTAAAATAAAGTGACTAATTTACCCTTGCCAATTCTTCAACTGTTTGATGCATTGTTTGGCCTCTCATGCAGAGTGTGTGATTCATATAAGTGGTCCAACCTATCCATCAAACTAATAATTGCCTAAAATCCAATGAATTATATAATTATAGAAAGGATGACTGATTCATCACTACCCATTCTTTTGCATGCAGTCAAGCCCCACAAGTCCTTTCCTCAAGAGAGAGAGAGAGAGGGAGAGAGAGCTGTGCTGTGGCAACCCAAATCATCACATAGTAAAGTGTCCCTCTCAGACTTAATTATGATCTTTCCCATTCCCTTTCTTAAAATAAAGTATCATGCATTATCTTAATGTTTCTTTTCTTTGGGCATAAAGGTAATCAAATTTTTTAATGATTTACTAATAATTGGGACAACTTGTTAGGTAAGAAATCATCATCTTCAATTACCACAAAGCATATAAAAACAAACAAATATATATATATATATATATATATATATATATACAAATAAATATATATTTATTTATATCTAAAGAACTTGAAAACTAATAAAAACTTATTATAATCAATTTATTTAGTTGAAGATCCAAGTGACATTAATACCTTCAGGAGATATACTCCTACAAATTAGTAAGTTTTTTACTTACTACTTTAAATTCAAGTTTACAATGAAGTATTTAAAGGGTGTTTTAGGTATTTTAATATTTGTTAAACTCATTAGTAACAATGACCAATACTGAATTAGCCTGAGTTTATTGGATAGGTACCATTGGGAGTGACATATATGAAAGATTCAAATATTTGAAGAGATATATATAAGATGTAAAATTTGGAGGGTTATATTAAGTAGTACATAAGATTTTGGAGCAGCAAAAGTATTTTTATATGTTATTTTCTTTTTAGTATTTGGGGTAGTAGATATATATTTAAATATATGTATGTATACCATATGATAAATAGAATTGCCTCTATATGTGCTTATATGTTTTCAAAAACATAAAATAAATACTTGAACTGACGTTTCTAAAATAATTAAATCAATATTTTAATGGGAAAAAAAAACAAATATCATGAAAAAAATTAAAATCCACATTATCTTGTCTTCTAATGATCAACAATTTTCATCCTAGTTTAGACAAAATATGAATGCAATCTAATTTCAGTTTCGGAAAATTTATTTTTTATTCCCATTTTGTATCTACATACATGTATATATATGTATATATTATGTGTGTAATTGTGGGTATCATAAAAATATTTGTATGTTATTTTTTTGTATTGGGGTAGTGATGCCTCTAAATATATATGTTTAAATAATTACTTGAAACTCTATTTTTTAAAATAATTATATCAAAATCATAATGGAAAAAAATATAAAAGATAAAGAAAAACACTAAACTCCATATTATTTCGTCTATTAAATTAATTATATTGTCTCTAGGTTTTAGCAGAATTATATTGTCTCTAAATATATATGTATTGCATGTGTATTTGTGTGTATATTATATAAGTATTTATAACTTGATAAAAAAAAAGAGATTTGGTGTTATATATGTCGGCTAAATAAGGCATGACAGTAAAAAGGCGTGACTGTGCTGTGGCAGACGAGCAGGTAAATCTGCTCTCGCTCTCTCTCTCTCTCTCTCTCTCTCTCTCTCTCACGCATTCTGCCTGGCCACCAATCCAAGGAAGTGAAAGAAGCATCCAACACAACCATCACTACTGCATTGCCCACGCAGAGATCCACGAGCAAGAAGCTCTGCCATCCCAGAACTGCCCCTCGACTCCTCTCTCTCTCTCTGATATCTGCAACTTTATCCTTTTTTATATTCACATCTTAATTGCTGCGTTTTTGTCTCCATCCCATATTAAAGAGATTCCTTTCCTTCGTTAACACCCTTCTTGTCTCTGCATCTCCTCCCTTCCCCTGGTCTCTTCGCTCAATCCCTTCATAATATCCCTGCTGCTGGAACAGCAAAGCTATCAGCTTCAGGTTGTTCTTGTACTTGTTATTGTTGTTCTTCTTCTCAGAATGGCGCTCTTTTCCTTGCATTTCTGAAACTATCAGTTTCTTGCATCGAAACCAGATCTTGGTTCCACCTCTTTGCGTCCTGGCCATCTGCATTGCTCGGAGTGCTATAAAAATCGCTCCTTTCTTCTCATAATGCCGCTGGCGGTTGGAAGCTGGGCTCGAGAAGTCCTCCTCTGCGTTGGGTTGCTTGCTTTGTTGTTCGTGTTGGCATTTGGTGGAGAGCATGACGGCGTTAACATCTGGCCGATGCCCAAGTCGGCGAGCCATGGCTCCCAGACGCTGTTCTTGAGCAAGGATTTCGTGCTGTCGACGCAGGGAAGCAAGTATGGAGACGGTTCCGAGCTGCTGAAGGAAGCATTTGACAGGATGATTGATGTGGTTGAAGTGAATCATATCGTTGATGGCCGCACGCCAACCTCTTCGGTGCTTGCTGGCTTAAATGTGGTGATCTTGTCACCTCAAGATCAGGTATTTGTTCTTCATCGTCCATAATTTGGCCTTTACTTAATCGATTGACCATCTTTGGGGAGACTATTTATTGTCGCCATAAATTTGGAGAAAATAATTGCTACATTATCATGATTATTTTTCGATTAGTCAGATATTGTTGTTGTTGTGTGTTTCGAATTACATGAATTATGACTCTTTATATTATTATCCTTCACTGATTAGTACATATATGTGAAGTAGTGACAATTAATGTATGCAAAAAACTTGTGAAATGCTGCCAAAATTCATTCTTGATATAATTAGTATCTCTTCATATGTTTGATTGGAACATAGATTTCTTGAGTAAAAAGTAAATCCTGTAGAGGCATTACTTTGATGGTCTACTGATACAGTTTTTTTTATTTTGCAGCTGAATTTTGGGATTGATGAGTCCTATAAACTGGATGTTCCTGCTGCTGGGAAACATGTGTATGCACGTATTGAGGTAGATGAAGCAATAACTTCTTGAAATTGTCACCAAAGAGTCCAAACAATCCATGTGTTTTCCAGGAACATCATATGTTCAGAAGTGCATATTCCAATTTTCATGAAAATTTGAGTTAGTTTTTAGCATAGTTATCTGGAATTTTTGTTTGGTTCTTCTTGAATTCCATTTTGTCCTCTGAACTACACTTAAATTCTGTTTTGTCACTGTGGGAAATTTATTTTAGTCCATAATAAATTTGTCGAGCATAACAAGAAAATAGAGATCATCTTCTGGACAAATTGGTCTGGTTGCAAAATTTAACAGAAATTAGTAGGTCTGACACAAGAATTTTAGTTGTTTCGCTTTTGATTTTGGTCTCAGTGGAGTCTTTTCTGCATTTGTCAAGTTTCAATGGGATCGGTAATCTTTTAGTTACAGATATCTACAAAATGTACATATTGGCTAAGGATTGGCAATTGAAATATTAAAATCCTCTACTGAAATGCACTTCAATAAGGAAAAATGCCTCTGTTTCTGCTGATCAAGATCAGGATTGGCCAATTTCATGACAAAACATTGGTCTGAAAGAGGAGGGGAGTCATAAGATGATGCACTTATAAGCTTACAAGGATGCCACAAAGGGATTTGTTGTTCATTACCTCATTTGGTTCTTTTATAGTTCTAAATAAATGCCAATCAACCGTGTTGTCATAATCTAATGCAAAAAGATTTCTCATCTCAGTTAATTATTATTCTTAATCAATTCGCCATCCTAACTTTTGCAGGCACAAACTGTTTACGGAGCACTTCATGCTTTGCAGGTAAGTTAGGCATTACGAAAATGGATTTCATTTGTAAAATATACTGTAGTAGATCATCTAACCAACAATTTGATTTTGTTTGATTTTGCAGACTTTCAGCCAACTGTGTCATTTTAATATCTATAAGAGAATTGTTGAATTACAGTTGGCTCCTTGGTATATTTTAGATCAACCAAGATTCCCATATCGGGGACTTCTTATTGGTAAATACTATTCCTTATAGATTTTTTTCTTTTTTAGTGTAAATTTTTAGGTCAACCTGAAAGGATACAGAAGTGTGTACATAGGTTTCTTATAACCAAGTTGCATACACATAAATGAACTAAGCTTGCATTAGAAACTTTTAAATCTACTATTTGTTATTTGTGTATGATATTCTCTTTGCTATTTTTGACAATTTCTGATAATTATCTAACAATGGAGAAATTAATAACTTTATGGAAAATTTCCTAACTCCATGTGATGATTCATGATAGTCTTCATGCATGAGTGAAAAAGTATCTGTTACAACCTATTACTGTGTATGTTGCAGACATCGCGGCCTTGTATATAATATCCTATTAGCTATCTTAAAAAAAATCTGATAAATAGTTAACAATTGAGAACTTCATGACTTTATTGAAATTTTCTTACCTCAATATGATTGTTCATGATAATCTTCATGCATGAGCAAAAAAGATTGGTCACTACTTGCGACTGTCTATGATGCAGATACATCACGACATTACCTACCCCTCCCAATAATAAAAGGTGTTATAGATTCAATGGCCTATAGTAAGTTGGTATGTTCATCTTTTCATCCTTTTATCATACACTTTCCTTTTATAATCCATCTATCTGCGTTGCAGCTCATCCTCAAATTTTCATAGTATAGATTGTGTCATGTCTCTTTAATAATGATTTCAAATTCTCAGTATCTTTTGTCTCTTTTATGTGTTTGTTCCATCAATTCTAGCTTACTGTCATACAGAATGTGCTTCACTGGCATATCGTGGATAAGCAATCCTTCCCCTTGGAGATACCATCATATCCAAGACTGTGGGCTGGTGCATACTCCTACTCTGAGCGATATACTAAGGCTGATGCTCTTGAAATCGTACAGTAAGCAATGAATGGCTACTTAAGCATCCTTTTCAAGGTTGTGATATGTTTGTTCTTGGAGATTGTCACACTGGCCTACCTCTGATCATTTACCAGCCATCTGTACCTAGCTCTCAACAAGAGATGGTGAATATGCTAGGGTTATACCTAGATCATTACAGGCATATGATTTTTTAGGGCAAAAAGTTTGCATACAGATATATTTGAGTGTAACAGACATCTGAACTAAGAAGAAAGAAATTATTTTTTCTTATGTGATGTCTAGTTTCCTTTCATCAGTTGAAATATTTTTTCTTGCAATGTATGACCCATATAGTCTCCATCACACTACTGTTGTCAGTGTCTCTGCATCATCCCCTCATGCACATTTATCAGTGGCACATATGATCAGACTTCTTAAAATATACTTAAGTTTTAATTACATGCTAAGTAGGCCTACTTCTTCTCTGTGGTCATGCACACATATTAGTGGCACATATGACCCTCTGCTCTGATGAACATTGAACAAACCCCTAAGAATATACATTCTGGTGACAAGAATTGGGACAAAAGCTCCTGTATGATGCCTCACATGCATAAATTATCATCTGCACTTGTGTATGTTTTTAAATGGTTCATATGTGTATACCTGTAATTTATATATCAGTATGAGTTTTATGGTGCTTCTTAGTTTCTTCATGACTGAATTTTTTGTACTTCTAAACATGAATATTTTCAGGTATGCAGAAAGAAGGGGAGTAAACGTGTTGGCTGAGATTGATGTGCCCGGCCATGCTCTCTCATGGTAGATAAAGTCCAAAGGCCTTTTAGCTCTTATTTTGTTGTATGGATTTAAAAATTCTTGAATTTTTAACTAAAAGAAATCATGTTGTTATTATATTAACTCATACTGCTCTTGGTGATCATAGCCTGCATCTCCAAAGATGTCTTATTTTCTGCAATGCAATATTCTTTTTCAATTTATTTGATTTTTCTCTGTGAATTGGGTTGGGAGTGATTACACAACCCAGATAAAACTCTATAAATTATCTTTTGTAGGGGTGTGGGCTATCCTGATTTGTGGCCCTCAGCTGAATGCCAAGAACCACTTGATGTCAGTAAAGAGTTCACATTCAAAGTAATTGATGGAATTCTTTCTGGTAAATTTTCTTCTTCTTGCTGTTTGCATCTAATACAATACGGTTTCAGTGATTTAGATGTTAACAAGACTAGTCACACATAATAATCAGGTTCCCAGAGGCACCTGACAAATAAAGCCAGAACTTTCTACAAGATTAACAGCAGAGTTTGATCATATCTGCAATTGATAATATTGGATGAATACAATACAGTGAATTGATACTTTTGATGTGACTTCTTTTCTAAGAATTTATTCTCAAAGTTCATGTTATTTTTAGTTTAGAAAAGCAAGTTAGATTATCTTTCATGATGGTTGTTAGATGAATGACTAATTCCTGATTAATGTTTCAGATTTCACTAAGGTTTTCAAGTTCAGGTTTGTCCATTTGGGGGGTGATGAAGTTAACACAAGTAAGCTCATACATTTCCTGTTAATTGTAATAGCACCTCATTTGTTTATGCCTCAACATGTTCTTTTTAGTCATCATGGTCAGTGGTGGGCAAACTTGAAACTTCTAGAGACAACGGAAACTATCAAATACTACTTCACTGATTTAACTTTCTTTTTGGGTCATTTCTTGACATTTGATCTTTACAAAGTCACTTTTCATGTTTTCCTTTTGGTCTTTCTTTTTCTACCATTCATGTTTCATTTGATGTCTCATACAAATAGCAAAAGATGGCTTTAAGAAACAATTGTTTTAGAAGTTTAGATACTTCAAATCAAGGTTTTAATTTTGGTTACTGGACCCAGACATATCGAGTTTCAAAAAAAGATCTAAAAAATAAAAAAAGGTTAGTGTCATCCTATGCCAGCTATATTGGGTGGCACAAGCCATGTACCACACATACCATCCAGTTTACTCTGGTCCACGTGCTAGTAGGTTACGGAATTAGTAAATACCGCTCATACCAAGCCACACCAGGTGATATTTTTAACTTTAATTTAATTTAATATTTCTAAATATGCAAGTGTCTCTTTTTTTTGCATAATATACCACTTTTGTTGTGGATTTCAGGCTGCTGGACCAACACTCCTCATATAATTGAATGGTATGTATCCTTACAAACCTAAATTTCCACCTTTATAGAATTTATTAATCACAGATCATAGTTTCTTCTACCTCTAATAGTTTTTATCAAGACAACTTCATTGTTTATCTACATTCATTAGAATGCCCATGTCTTTGGGACTTAAATTTTATAGTACATTTTCAGCCTTTAATTTCCATTCAAATTTCATATCAGCTTTGCCCACCTCTCTTGAGGAACAAGTTGATGATTACACTTAAGCAAATTTTCTTACTCAGTGAATTTATAATTTTTTGGAACAAAAACTTATTAATATCATGAGAGAAGGGTTTTTGAAGTTTGAAAAAAAAGGGAAACTTAGGTTTCACTTTTTCTAAAAATTATCAAATATTTAGCATAACTTTGAAATGACTAACATGGTTCTAAATGATCATC